TGACATCACTGCTCACGGGCCACGCACCGCCCTCAAGCGCTTGCACCACGTGTCGAAGGTCCCACACACACGCGCGCCCATCCGTGGTTGTCGTCAGCAGCAAACCGCGTGCATGAGATGCACCGCCACCGCTGCTGTTGTCATCATCGGCGTTGGTGTCGTTGGCTGCATTGATCCACGTCGCCTGCAGCACACACCGCCCTTTGCCATCGCTGCGGCACAAACAGCAGCAACAGAAGCAGAAACGCATTTCGTCGTGAGCGAGTGCGAAGATAACGTGGCGCCTGTGTATGTTTACAACGTGCGCGGGTGTGTGTGTGCGTGTGGGCATCTCGGTGGCACCTTGATGTGTAGTTGAGGCGAAGCAGATCCCAGAACACGCTGTCGCGAAAACCAACGACCCTGGTGACGTGCATGGTGATGCAGAAGGTGAGCATGACAATGCTAACATGCACACGCACATATGTACGAAAAAAAAAAAACATCTACGAACATGCAGCAATGCACGCACACACACACACACATGCATGCGCGCGCACGCACGCACGCACGCAACCCCACACCCAACCACGCATACACGCAACCACAAACACACACACACGCGCGCGCGCGCAACCACGCACCTGATGGATGCATCTGAGAGGGCGATGGCGAGAAGAGCAGTGTGTGTGTTCGCGGGGAGTACAGCAATGGCCATGACACGCGCCTCCACGCTCGCGGCAACGGACGGCGGCGGCCAACGGCTGCACACCTCCGCAGACAGCAGCACACGCGCACTGTGTCGTTGGGGATTTACGGTGGTTGGTCGAGGTGAGCAAGGGGGGGGGCATGCATGGACTGTGCGAAATCAAGATGACGCAGCGAAATAAGCCACGCAAACGCATACGCACACATGTGCATACACACGCACACACATTCATAGACACAAGCACTCACACGCACACGCACGCGCACGCACACGCACACACAAGCACACAAGCACACGCGCGCGCAAACACACGAGGTGGCCTCACGTTGGCTTGCGCGTGGGATCCTTTGTCGCGTGTTGCGCTGCTTTTGACGTCCAGGCTGCAACAGCGCCACCGCCACAACCGGAAAAGAGGACCAAATGTCCATCAAGACGGCATGATGCAATGCAGCGCACGCCAGAGATGTGATGGCGAAGGAAGCAGTGGAATCGATGCTATTCAATTCGTATGATGGCCGCATATGGAAGCAATGCATGTGAGTGTATGTGTGCGTGTGTGTGTGTGTGTGAGTGCGAGTGTGTATGTGCGTGAGTGAGTGAGAAAGTGTGTGTGCGAAAAAACGACAATCGTCAAAGGCGTGAACAACTCCATGATACACGCACAGCATGAAACATCCTCTGAATTCGTTGCCAACAAAACAAATCAGCTTGTCAGGCGTGAGCAGTAGCGTCTCACCACCACAGGCCCGCTGCTGCTATGACCATCACCACCGCCATCGTGCAGCGTGGACAGGCCAAGGCGGTTGTCTTCGCTCCCCGTCACAATTGCCCGCGTGCCATCATCCTGCACACCCGCACGTGTTCACGCGTTGTTCGTGTGTGAATGCAAAGGAGGGCATGCGGGCATGTGAACATATGGATATGTTGTGGACATGTGAACGTGTGAGTGTACAGGTGCGTTGATGCGAGCATGCACGTGAACACTTGTACAAGTGGCCTGTCGAGCACGACTGCATACCCACTCGGCTGCACATCATCCTTGCAATTGTGCATAAAAGTGTAAAATCACAACAAAACACACACCCCGCCCCCAACCACACGCACGCACATGCGTGGCACTCACAAAGCGGCAGACGTGCACGCAGACGCATTCGCGGCCGTGTCCACCCTCGAGCACACACACGCCACTGTCCGCGGAGTTGCCTGCAAGCAAGCATATCAGATGGCGTGAGCTCTTTGATTCCTTGTGGAGAAGACATCGACACCAACAGCAGCTGAACCAAAAATTTACACAACCATTCGAGCAACAACAATAATGATGCGGTTGCGACACCACCAATACCACCACCAATATCACCACCAATACCACCAATACCACTGCTAGCACCTGGCGGGCGGCGCACAAAGTTGAGGGCTGCATCCCGGATAAAGACGGCGGCATATCCGTCGTCACCGCTGACTGTCGATGCAAAGTCCCACGAGCGGTGGCCCCCGCCCACGTCATGGCGCAGCACCTGCGACCGGTGAGCAGCGCAGGGACACGCGCGGTTGACATGAAGGGCAGTCAACAGGTGGTGGAAAGTGCGTGGTGTGCGGTTAGTGCGAGGGGGGCAGGTGGGGAGGAAGTGCAAACGGCGCAAACAAGTTGCTCACAGCACGAGGGAGGTGGCATCTACCACATGCATCGACACTACACAGCAAAAAGAACAACTTAAACAACAACAACAACTTAAACAACTTAAACAACAACAACAACAACAACAACAACAACAACAACAACAACAACAACAACAACAACAACAACAACAACAACAACAACACGCACACATAGAGGCTCACCTCAAGATGGGTCTGTGCATCCAGGACAACAAGTTCCTGCCGCATAAACCCAACAACAAGCGCGCGAAGGTTCGCCACGCTGCCAACTACACCGCTGCTGTTGTCATCAGCAGCATTGCCATCATCGTCACCACCACGCGTTGGCGGTGTTTGGGCAAGCACGAGTGCGTTCAACCAGCCCATCTGGCGGGACACACGCGCTTTCGTCGCAAGCACGAGCGACACACGTCGACAGCCCTGCCGCATATCATCGTCATCATCGTCACCATCACCATCACCATCACCATCACGACTGCTGCTGTGCTGTGCACTCACGTTGAAGATGCAGTAGTACCCATTCCGCCCCGTTGTCACCAGACACACGCGCCCATCTGCTGTGGGCATGTGCGCAACACTCGTCACAGACTGCTTGCCGTGCGCCTTGAACACTGCGCTCGCTGTTGTGCACACGCGCGCTGGCACCACCGCATCCCCTGCCGTCGCCGCCGTTGCTGCTGTTGCTCCGGGGTTGAGCTGCTCAGGCTGTTGCGGCGGCTGAGGTGCCGAAGCGGTGCTGTCACCATGACCACCATCACCATGACGACTGCTGCAGTTCATGTCAAAGACGCGCACAAACCCCTTTCTGTCGCCGACAACAAGAAGCCGAGAGGGCAGAAGCGCCGCACACTGCACATACACGCCCGCATCCACGCGATATTCAAACACACACTCAACACGCACCACGGCCTGCCCTGGTGTTCCCACTGACGCCGTTGTATCACCACCATCACCCACGGTGCGTTCGTCATCGCCATCACCATTACCACTGCCATCACGGTCGGCAACGTGCAGTCGCCACACGCGACCACATCCTGCCGTGTATGTGAACAGCAGAAGCTGTTGCTGCTGCTGCTGCTTACTGACATGTGCTGTTGGCGCTGTGAGCCAGTGCAGCGAGAGTATCTTGCTGTCGTGCGCACGGAATGTGTGCAAGTGTCCCGCCCTCTCGCTGCACAGTATAACGCGGCCACACACGCTGCAGGACGCGGAAGGGCGATTGTAGTTAGTGTATGTGTGTGTGTGTGAGGTTGTGTACGACGGGAATTGTATTTGTGCGCGTGTGAGAGTGTGTAAACGCATATGAGGGTACTCATGAGTGCATTCCACCGCAGTTGTGGCCATGCAATCCTTCTGTTTCTGATTGCACATGAACACATTGGTGCAATGGTGGCCTACCTTGTTACGGCGAACACATGCGAGGCGGTGGTGGCGGGATGGCCAGGGAATGCGTTCATCGCCGTCGGCTTTTGGGTCGCAATGAGGATGTACTTGCGGAGAAGAGGCGAGTGCATCAGCAGCTTCTCTTGCTGCGTCTACACAGGAGGGCGCATGGCGGTTCGTGCGTGTGAGATGTGATGTGATCACGAGGGCGAGAGGACAACCATCAAAGCAAGCCACCAAATTCACATGAAAGCACGCACACGCACACGCACACCATATCAGAACGCAAAATTTTGCATAAACACATGTACATGCACAGATGCATGAACACAACAAGCACACCTCAAAGTTGTAGTGCATGATGTGACCGCTGTGTGTGCACACAACGACACGCGAACGGTCGAGGAGAGCAGTTGTGCTTGGGGTGATATCCGTGTCCGCTGATGCTGTTGGTGGACGTGGGATCCACTTGCCGGCGAATGCAGACGTTTCCTGCAGCGCTGCTGGCGAGATGGACCACCGCCACACACTGCCGTCCTCTCCACCTGATGCACACACACACACACACACACACACACACACACACACACACACACACACACACACACACACACACACACACACACACACACACGCACACACACACACACGCACACACGATCGTGAGTGCTGACAGCAAATGCGCTGATGGTTGAAGGGTCAGCAACAGCAGCAACAGCAGCTGCAGCAGAAACAAACAGCAACAGCAGCAGTATTGAACCAACACAACATTATCGCCATCCACACTGCCAGCACCTGTGATGACGGCCTCGCTGCTGGTATCGGCAATCGCCCACAGCCCGCCCCCGCCGCGGTGGCCACGATACCTGCCACCAGCAACGTGCGAATTTGCGTGAGATTGCATGTGTGGGCATACATGTGGAAGCGGGTCGAGTGTGCGTGTGTGTGTGTGTGTGTGTGTGTGTGTGTGTGTGTGTGTGTGTGTGTGTGTGTGTGTGTGTGTGTGTGTGTGTGTGTGTGTGTGTAATCGCGCCCGCGCGCGTGTGTTTGTGCGTGCAAATGGTTCATCTTGTCTAGTTCTGCCATGGTGTCGCATAGGATGCACGAGTGACGATGATGATCATATCCTGTTCACGAGTGTGCGCGCTGGTGGTTGCACTCACCGCCTGAGACGTCGGCCATGGTGATCCCACACGCAGCAGCACCCGTCCTCTCCAGCAGTCAACAGCGCAGTCTCCGTCAGCAGACACCGCCACACGCTGCCAGCATGCACACGAGCGCACAACCACATGTATGACAAGGGTTGTCATGCAGAGGGCGAGACCAGGGGGGTAACCATGTGTCAGCACTTCCAGCACCCAGAAGAGGCACAGCCGCTACAACCACCACAGCCGCTACAACCACCACCACCAAGACTATAGCAGCTCCAACAACTTCACCTACAACCACCACCCCATGACAGCAACGCACCGCGATGAGTGACCATAGACCACGACAGAGGCGGCAATTGATTGTGTTTGCGACGTGTGCTCATCTGCGTGCGCCCATTTGGGAGGAAGCATCCACACCCGCGCACTGCGATCATCACTCACGCTACACAGCTTGTCGCCTGCAACGTTGGCGGTGGCGGTTGCGGTTGCGTGCGTGGTTGAGAGTCGGTGGGAAGGAGGTGGTGTTCATGCAAGTGGAGAGCGCGCCTACTGCAGTCCACACCACACAGAGACAGTACACACACACACACGCACGCACACGCACACGCACACACACGCACAGCACACGCGTACACACGTGCACACACACACACACATACACACACTGTGCACACATAGACACAAACGTACCCGATGGCGAGAAGCAGACGTTGAAGATGACGCCGTCGTGCCCATCCAGACACACGCGCGCGGGCACGATGCGCTCCTCTGTATTGCGGTGGCGGGTGTTTGGCAAGCGCCACAGCCGCACCTGCTGGAAAATGGTCCCTGCCGTGGTGTGCATGGCCAATTGAGGGCGTCAGGGCCACCCAAAGTGAAATCAAGAACGTGATTGTGCGCTGGATTGTATGTGCAGCGTACAAGCGTTGCAAGGATGCGGCTGGTGCGTTATTTGTGTTGTTACACAACACATAGCACGTCGAACATGTGTAGGGTTGTATGTGCATGCAACTGTGGTTGGATGTACGTGGAAATGTGGTTGAATGTGTGTGAGTGTGAATGTGAATGTGAATATGTGCGTGTGTGTGTGTGTGTGCGTGCGTGTGTGTGTGTGTGTGTACCTGATGCGACGGCGGTGATGTTTGTGCCGTAGTCGTGCAAGCCAGCAGAGTACAACAGGCAAGCCGTGTCTCCACGAAACGCCACCGCTTCCTCCCACTGGCCCAGTGTTGTGCATGGTATACATGAGACAGCGCATCAGTGCAATAGGCAGGGAGATGGTGTGTGAGTGAGTGTGTGTGTGCGCGCGTGTGCAAAACAGAGAGAGGGAGAGAGGAGGGAGAGCGAGAGAGAGAGAGGGAGACTTCGTATCTTGTGATGGTATCCAAGCCTCGCCCCAGACGCGTCAGCAGTTGAGCGTGTGGTGCTCGAGTGCAATGGATGGGCGATGAGATGCAATCCCTCACATCATGCCAGGCAAGAATGCGCGACCCACCTGTGGGGATTCGCAGACGGGGGCGTGGAGGACCTGAACATGGTTGTGGGCCAGCACGACAATGAGCTCGAGCAGGTCGGGCCGAGATTCCTGTTGCTCAGCGGACGCTTTGTGCTTGATGCGACGACACGAGGCCGTCCACATGCGATCGCGCAGCGTAATGTTGGACACGCACACGAGCTGCTTTACGCCAGTGTATCTCAGCGTTGCCACCTCCTTACTGCCAAAGCACACCACATGGTCCTTGTCTGGGAAGGAAAACCCAAACACGCTGCCAATTCGAAATACCTGGTTTTGGTGTGTATGTATGCGCGTGTGTGTGCGGTGCGGGTTGTGTGTTGTGTGAATGTGTGCGTGTGTATGCGCGTGCGTGGTGCGTGTGATGTGTGATGTTGTGCATGCAATGAGCAGATGATGCAGTGCCACATGCGTTTTCAGCACAGATGGCGCTGACGGGCTTGACAACATTGTGGTTGCAGCTTGACTGGTTACTGAGGTTGTTGCACGGACACTACATACGCAAAGCAACATAACAGCTGCAGACACACACGCACACACGCACACACGCACACACACGCACACACGCACACACGCACACACGCACACACGCACTCACACGCACATACAAACACGCACACACACGCACACACACGCGCGCGCACACACGCACACACGCGCGCGCACACACGCACACACACGCGCGCACACACGCACACACACGCACACACCTCCTTGGCATAGATGACGGAGTGTGATCCTGCATCGAGCACCTTCACGGCGCAGCCGCAGCCAACAAAGACGAGGCCGTTATCCTCTGCCAGGGCTGTCACTGGTGCGGTCAGCGCGCACGCTGTGGTGGTTGTCGCGCATCGCTCGCCCATCGTGTGTTGTTACCTTGTCCGGGTGGTGAAATTAGCGATATCTTGCATAAATGCTCCGCGTACAGCCCTTTGCGTTCTGTGTTGGCAGCGCCCCTCCCCCTTCCCCGAAATTTTATCTCATGCCAGCTGTGCACCTTGGCCTTGCGCCTTGCTCCTGTGCTTTCTGCGATTGTACGCAGTGTTCACTTTCCCGCCACACAGCAGTCGCAGTGCACCGCTTTGCTTGTTGCCTGTTGGTCTTGACACCTCCCCCTCCTATCTCCACCACCAACCTCTCTCCGACAGCAACCATGGGTAAGGTCAACGGACTGCCACTGTATCGTGTGGACATGAAAGGCTTGTGTGTAGGGGTGTGGGTGGGTAAGACTGAGAGACTGAGAGAGAGAGAGCGCGCGCGGGGGGGTGGGGTCTTTTTCTGTGGACGAAGAGGTCGTTGTGATCGACGATGGGTTGTCTGCGATCTGCGTTTGTTTGTGTTTTTAATGAAGGGGCGACTCTGCACCAATTGAGCATGGCGTGCTCCGTTGTTCCGATTCCAGAGGAAAACAGCGACTTGAAAGCTACCAGTGCATCTCACGTTCTGCGGATGTGCACGTTGTCGCTTCTTTGCCGTTTCTCTGTTTGTTTGTTTCCTACCAGGTTACGAGGCTCCCAAGGGTGTTCCCACCGTCTTCGACCCCAGCTTCACCGGCGTCGGCCAGAAGCCCGGTCTTGAGATCTGGCGCGTGGAGAAGCTTGCCGTCGTCAAGAAGAACAAGGACGACAAGGCACACAAGGGCGAGCTCCACGAGGGCGATGCCTACATCATCCTCCAGACCAAGGTGTGTGTGTGTGTGTGTTCGTGTGCGTGTGAGCGTGCCGCTTTTGTGTGTTCGTGTGAGATCTGGTGCTATTGTTTTGTATTGGCGTTTTTCGTCTGTTCTGCCGCTGCCTGCACTTGGAAACACAGGCACACACGCACATCCACATACGCACGCACACACACACATACTCTCTCTCTCTCTCTCTCTCTCTCTCTCTCTCTGTTCAACGTGCATGCACGAAAACCGACGACCGACGATGCATGTGCACAATTATCTCGACTCAACCACCCACCCCCCTCTTCAACACACCGAAACAGGAGGTGCATGGTGCGCTTCAGCGCAACATCTTCTTCTGGCTCGGCAAGGACTCCAGCCAGGATGAGCAGGGCGTGGCCGCGTACAAGACGGTCGAGCTCGACCAGTCGCTCGGCGATGAGCCCGTGCAGCATCGCGAGGTGCAGAACCACGAGTCGGACGAGTTCCTCGGCCTCTTCAAGAACGGCCTGCGCTACCTCGAGGGCGGTGTCGCCACCGGCTTCCGCCACGTCGACCGCGACGCCTACGAGACGCGCCTCCTGCACATCAAGGGCCGCCGCAACATCCGCGTGTCCCAGGTCAAGCTCGACCCAAGCAGCATGAACGAGGGCGACGTGTTCGTGCTCGATGCCGGCAAGGACATCTTCCAGTGGAACGGCAAGGGCGCCAGCCGCGTGGAGAAGTCCAAGGCCCTCGAGGTCACCAAACGCATCCGCGACGAGGAGCGCGGTGGCAAGGCCAAGATCCACCTCATCGACCAGGGCAAGGACGACGACTCCCTGTTCTGGGAGAAGTTTGGCGTGAGCAAGCCCACGCGCATCAAGTCCGCCGAGGAGGGTGGCGATGACGCCAAG